GCGCACACAGCACACATGGCGCACACAGCACACATGGCGCACACAGCACAGCACACATGCCGCACACAGCAAATCACGCGCACCTGGTTCTCATTGAAGTTGTAGATAGGCACAATGCCGGCCTTCTCATCCATCGCCACTTTAATGAACCCCTTGCTGCAGTGAAAGGTAAGGTGGAATCAAGAGACGAGGAAAGAAGGCCGTGAGGGAGCAAGGATGGATGCGCAACATGAGAGGAATGAATAACATGGAAGGCCCGGCTGGCCATAGCACGTGCCAACCCTGCAAGCGTAATCCCTCTCCAACCAACACAGCCCTCCATCCATTAGCTTGACCACAAGTCGTTTTCCCTTCCCAACAATCCGTTTTCCCCACATCTCTGAAAAATCTCGCTCCTGCCCCTTCCCCCTCTTTCCCTTCCTCACCAACACGCCCCAGCCTCCTCACCACCACGCCCCAGCCTCCTCACTTCACGAGGTAGACCATGTTGCAATCAGGGTTGGACAGGGAACGAGGATGACGCATACCACAAACGTCCTACTCTGCCAGGTCTACCCGTCCCCTCTCACCGCAACCCACCCCTCAGCACCCCCATGCCTCACCGTTTCATGAGGTAGAGTGTGTCATAGTCAGGGTTGGTGCCCAGACAGATCTCCTTCACCCCGCCGATTGTTATCGTTACCTGTGAAGCACATCACAGCACAGCACAGCACATATTTGTGAACCTTCCCCTTCTTTCTCATACGCCCGTTTACTTTCAAGCAGTCCCATGTTCCTCCCTAGTAGCATTCTCCTTCGCCCCCTTTGTCCCACTCACATGCTCCTTCTAACCACTCACATGCTCCTTCTAACCACTCACATGCTCCTTCTAACCACTCACATGCTCCTTCTAACCACTCACATGCTTCCTTTCACCCCAACCACACTCACATGGTTCTTGTTGCGGAGCGTGCGCACGATTTCAGGCTTGTCCACGGATACGAGCCCCAGGTTGTTCAGGATGTTGCTTGCAAACACTCCAAAGTCCACCCAAGCCAAGTTCTGAGGTGCCTCAACAGTCATCTCATTCTTGGACCCCTCACAACTCGTCTCACTCACGTGGTTCTTGTTGCGGAGCGTGCGCACGATTGCAGGCTTGTCCACGGACACGAGCCCCAGGTTGTTCAGGACGTTGCTTGCAAGCACTCCAAAGTCCACCCAAGCCAAGTTCTGAGGTGCCTCAACAGTCATCTCATTCCTGGGCCCCTCACAACTCGTCTCACTCACGTGGTTCTTGTTGCGGAGCGTGCGCACGATTGCAGGCTTGTCCACGGACACGACCCCCAGGTTGTTGAGGATGTTGCGCACAATGGGAACCACAAAGAACGCCCCCGCTGCTGACCCGAAGAAATCGCCTGGGGAAGGTGGGAGCAGGTGAGGGGCGCATGTGGGGAGAGGGGCGCATGTGGGGAGAGGGGCGCATGTGGGGAGAGGGGCGCATGTGGGGAGAGGGGCGCATGGAAGAGGGGCGCATGTGGGGAGAGGGTCGCATGTGGGGAGAGGGGCGTGCAAGGGACGGGGTGAGAGGTGAGGGGTTGAGGCGCATATGCAGCATTCGGGATAGCACGCTCGCAGCAGAAAGCACAACACGAGACGAGACCACACTGCAGAGGACAGCACAGCACAGAACAAGAGCGCACGCACTGCACAGCACCTCACAACACCGCACAGGGCAGCCCAGAGCGCACCTTTGGGGCAGAAGTGTTTGCGCCAGAGGTCGTGAGACTGGATGATGAGCGAGGTGGAGTAGAACATGCGGCCGTGCGGGTGGAACGCAAAGATGTACGGCCCGTCTGGGATGGGGTCCCTGGGCGTCACCATGCGCACTGACACCATGTACCGCGCCATCTTTAAGTATAGCTCCTGGACGGCATAAGAGGGTGAGAATGAGCGGAGGCAAGGAAGAGAAGATGTTGGGGAGAGTGCGGCCAGGATGGGGTCTCTGGGCGTCACCATGCGCACTGATACCATGTACCGCGCCATCTTCAGATACAGCTCTTGGGGGCAGCAGGGGAAACGAGCAGAACGGGGGGAGGAAGGAACTGATACTTGTGGCGTGTGTTTGTGGTCGCCGAACCGCTTCCCCCGTGCACCTGGTGTGCTGACATCCCGGCGTGCACTCGTGGACGCACGTGATAGGTAGTAGATCCGTTTTCCCGTGCAACTAGAGACGTCCCGGTACACTGGCGTATTAGGTACTAGTTACTCGCGGACGCACCTGGTACATGCGGCGCGTTTTGGGGTCGTAATGCATCCGGCAGACGGTGAGGTAGAAGAGCACGAGGAAGGAGATGAGCGGCCCCAGCCACCCTAGAAGCCTGAAAACGCATATATGGGTCACAGGAATACAAACACAGAAAAAAGTCGGCCTCGGGGGGGCCAGAGGTCATTGTTGATGGGTCCTGGAAATGGATCATGGTTGACAGGCAATATGCGTCATGGATCAAGGGTCATGGATGATGGGTCATGGATCATGTGGTCATGGGTCATGGGTCATGGTTCATGCGTCATGGGCCATGGATCATGCGTCAAAGGTCATGGATCATGCGTCATAGGTCATGGGTCAGGGATCACGGATCATGGATCATGGTCGCTCAACAGTCCGAAACCGTATGTTGAGCTGCCTAGCGGTTAATGCAACAGCCTCAATGGCGATACCAATCACGCCCTGCCAACTCTCACACATGTACGCCGCGTGCACGACGATCGCTTACATGTACGAGATGTACACGACTATTATTGTGAGGATGAAAGGAGCGAGCGTGAACGGCAGCATGTGCGCGATAAACACTGCGATCACGTCCAACAGCTTCGTCGACCGCGGCGGCACGAGGTAGTTAATCTCCATCCCCTGTGACTCCACGAACCGCTTCTCTTCCGCGATCTGCGCTCTCGTCTTCCCGTGCACCGCCAGAAACTCCGCGTCGCTCAGCTCCCCGCCTTTCTTGTAACGGCCGGCAACCGGCTCGCCGGACAGCGTCATCTCTTCCGCGTCGTCATTGGACGACACCTGCGGCTCTCCGTCTGGGCCAGCGCGATTCCGCATTGTCGGAGATCTGTCGTTCGTTACGTTGGACAAAGAACAAGCGGCAAGACAAATACGCGAGCGCGTTGTTTTAACGCGGCGATAAGAGCCAAGGGGCCTTCTTGTGGTTACACGCGACGGTGAAGTAGCTCAGGCACGCTGCAGCTGTATCACAGCGTTGGCGCAAGAAAACCAGGGTTAGCTAACTGTCTTTCACACTAGTCATCCTGCAGACCCCGTCGCTGCAGCGAGACCTAGATCCGGCCAAATCTACAAGTGAGAGGGCACCAAAGGAGGAGCGTGACAGGAAGTAGCCAGTAGATTCAAAGATCGGGTGTTGTACCCAAGTGGACTGGGTCTCGGAGATGGCTGCGTTGGATTCACCTGCAAGCCTGGGTTCTGACAATCTCGAGAGGGCCGTGCTCTAGGGATTGTCATCTTGGGGATCTGCTGGATGCTTTCTCTGTGGTGGCTCCGATGTGGATCATGAAGCATGGAAGTTGACGGTGCTCAGCTGGGGAGGACGCCAGATCGGATGACTGTCAGCCGAAAGCTGGCGCCAAAAATCGAAAGAAACTCGTCAAAGAGCTGTGCTGATAAAACAGTTGTCATCGAACGCATGTACGAACAAACATCCTTGGTGTTATGTAGCGGAAATATCCAATAGAGCATTAGTTTTCTAGATTATGATTGTGTGCTGTTGGAAGGTAAAAAAAATCTGTATTTCATGCTGGAATAATATATCAAAAAATAATTTGAAATGGAAATCTGTATGTTACATTCCAGACCTATGATATGACGACATCATGGAAGAATGAAAAGCAGCACCTTGCGATTTCTTGCATATCTAGAAGGCAGCCACTCCAATATGCATTGAGCCTCGTTGAGGACAGTGCGAGACGGTATACACATAAAGCGTATGTGGGACTTGAGAACTTCACTGGCTCCAGCTCCATCACTTCATGTCTCTCGAGCCGAAAGCCTGTGAAGAGGTTCCTAGGGTTTCCCTTAGTTCAAGAACGTATTTCCGTATCATCACGTCCTTACGAGCAATAGCTTCACGACAGCCGCCATGGCGGGCGTCCCTCCTGTACCGGGATCTGGGCGCGGCCGCGGAATGACTCTTCCTGCTTGGATGACGGGTGCGTCCTTCGCCTCTCGCCATTCGTTTCTCCTCCTTATCCTGATTGATTCAACATGCATTTCTTCTCTTAGATGCAGATCTCTGCTCTTATGCGATGTGTCATTCGTCACGTATGGAATGTAGGTTCTGAAAAAAAAAAAGTCGGCATGCGTCGTCTGCTATGCTTCCACCTTCGCTCCTCCCCACACTCTATTTCATTCACCGCACGCCGTTTCGGTCTCCGCACTCGCCTTGTCGCACGCTACGCACATCCGATACTACCGCTTTCTTCTCCTATTCCCCGATAAGCCCCAGGCGGCAAGTCTATGCCGCCCGTTGGAGCGCCGGCCGCCGGCGCGGCTCCCGGAGCAGCTCCAGCGACCGCTGCGCCTTCCGGGGGCGGCAGCGCTCCGTCGCCGTCCCCGCCTGCTCCGTCGATCGCGCGCGACGACGCCAAATCACCCGCCGTCGTGAGGATCCCGCACTCGAACCACGCGCACCGCAGCAGTCGTGCACAACATGCGCATCGCAGCATTCATTCACAATGCACGCACCGCAGCATTCATGCACAACGCGCGCACCAAGTCACGACGCCTTCAGTTTCGCCTGAGATGCGATGAATTTACTTTGCAACACATTTTAATCTCTCTTCTGCGATCGTCTCGTTTGACTTTGGACGTTTGACTTCTGAGGTTTGACGTTTGGCCTTTCGCGTTTGACGTTCGACGTTCGGCGTTTCACAATCAGCTATCTATCTGAGCGCCTATTCCCCCGCTTCCGCATCCTCCCGCGCTTCCTTCTCCGCATCTGCATATGCATGACTGCGTTGCACCACTCCCGCTTCTCTCTGCCTCCGAACCCTCCGCTCCCGTGCCCCCACCCTCGCCCCAGATGGGTCGCGGAGCGCCGCCCATGCACGCGGCGGGTCGCGGTGGGCCTATAGGCGCGCCTCCCATAGGCGGTCCCCCGCAGCCTTCCCCCGGCGGCGGCTTGTTGCCCGGGCCTGCAGGCCGCGGACAGGTAAGCATTTCTCCGCACCTCCCGACTTCCTCCTCTCCCATCGCCCTCCCTCCTCTTCCGCGGTTCCACCCCCCACCTCCTTTCGCACCCCCTCCTTCCTGCTCTTATACTGTCCTTATTCACACCACCCGACATCCGCTCGCCCCTCATTGCAGTTCCAGCCGCCAGGAGCGCCAGGAGCGCCAGGCGCACCAGGAGCGCCAGGAGCTCCTGGAGCGCCGGGAGCGCCGGGGGCACCGCCGGGCGCGCCAGGCGTGGGAGCGCCGCACCTGCCGCCGGGCCAGCAGCCGCCAGGGCAAGTCCCTCCGGGACAGCAGCAGGCGCAGGGGCAAGGGCCGCCGGGAGCGCCAGGCGCGCCGGGAGCACCGGGCGCACCGGGAGCGCCAGGAGCGCCAGGAGCGCCCGGAGCGCCGGGAGCAGCAGCACCAGGGGCGGGGGGACCAGGCGGACCTGCCCCCCCCGGCGCTCCTTATGGCGCTCGCCCTGGCGGCCCCCCGCTTCCCCCTGGCGCCCCCCCTCAGGTGCCGCACCCTCTGCCCGCGCGCCCCCCCACCCCGTCACTTGCGTCCTTCCTCTCCCTCACTCCCCTCCGCCGTCCCCTCATTCCCTCCCTCCTTCCTTCATGCCTCTGTCCCTTTCCCTTTCCTTTCTCAATCTCCTCATGTAACGGCACACCTCCGTCGCTAGCTTCTTCCGTCTTTCCCTACCTCCGTCGTTTCTCACTCCTGCCCGCAGCCCTGCTTCCGCGCTTGCCTTTGCTGTCCTATCTGACTTGCCTTCTGACTAGTCATCGCTCTCTTCCTTCTCCTCAATCCTATCGTCCCTCCCCCATCCCCCCCCGCAACCTCCCGCCTTCCACAGGGGCACTACGCCTCTCCCCAGCAGCAGTTCCGCCCGGCGTACCCAGGCGCCCCTCCGCCGCGCCCCTTCCCCCCTCTTCCTCCGAACGCTCCGCCCGGCCACCTTCCCCCCTACGGCGCGCAAGGCCACCCCCCACAGTACCCGGGGCAGCACCAACCGCACCCGCAGTACCCCGGAGCCCCCGGCCAGCCCCCCCAATACCCCGGCCAGCAGCAGCAGCAGCAGCAGCAGCCGCCGCAGCAGCAGCATCAGCAGCAGCAGCCGTACCCGTCATATCCCCCCATGCCCGGCCACATGCCCGCCCCCGGATCCTACCCCCCCCAGCAGCACCCCCCCCAGCAGCACCCGCACTGGCAGGTGCCCGGCGCGCCTGCGCCAGGGGGAGCGCAGGGGGGGGCTGGTGCAGGAGGGGCGCAGGCAGCAGCGCAGGGCGCGCCTGGGGCAGGCGCACCTGCGGGGGCAGCCCCTGCTGCTACCACCGCTGGAGGGGTGAGTGAGTGGGTTCCTGATTGCGTCGATTCGTCCTCCCTTCTCCTGCCACGACTCTCCCAATCTCCTCCCTGTTTTTGACCTTATAAGGCCAGTGAGAAGCATTGGTCTCTAAGCAGCAGGCCATCATTCCCTGTCGCCTGCTCTCCCCCCGCTTCTCCTTTTACGCAGGTGCCCCTTCCCCAGATGCCACCTCCCGCCACAACAACGCCCGCCCCCGCGGCCACGCAGGCCGCACCTGGGGGAGGCGCAACTGCCGCTCCAGCAGGCGCCAGCAGCGGCAGTGGCGCTACTGGGGGAGCGGCGTCTGAGTGGCAGGAGTACACTACGCCGCAGGGGCGCAAGTATTTCTTCAACAAGCGCACGCAGCAGTCGAGCTGGGAGAAACCCACTGATCTCATGACTCCCAGTGAGGTGCGTGAAAAGGGGGTTAAAGGGACTGTAGCAACGTGAAATTGCGCAGATTTGTTCTTAGTTCCTTTCCCTCTGTCTACTTCCCCCCTGCCTCTCTGCACACTCACCTGCATGCATCTGTCCCCTCTCTCTGGCAGTCCCCTAATCCTCCCTGCACCCCCTCTATCTACTTCCCGTCCCTCCACACACAATTCTTTTCTGCAGCGTGCCGACGCCACAACGGTGTGGAAGGAGTTCACAACAGCGGAGGGGCGCAAGTACTTTTTCAACAAGATCACCAAGCAGAGCACGTGGACCATCCCAGCTGACCTCAAGGTGCGCCAACTGGTAGATAGATGTGCCAGAAAGTGTTGCTTCTGTGCGCGCCGCAAGGACTTAACGACAACGACAAGCGGAGGGGCGAAAGTATTTTTTCAACAAGATCACCAAGCAGAGCACGTGGACCATCCCTGCCGACCTCAAGGTGAGCAGCCGATGTGCTAGGCCAGTTTTGTCAAGCAGATGAGCTTTAGGCTAGTAGCGGTGATTTTTTTCCCTGCTGCTGTTGCTGCTGCTCGCCGGACAGTGCTTCTACTTGTACCAGAAGCAGCACCCTTGCTTGTTCGTGTCTGCACCTCACCTCACTCCATTCGTTCTTGTGTCTCCCTCTCTCTTCCCGCAGGCCGCGCGGGAGAGGGCTGCTGCCGAGCAAGCAGCAGCGGCAGGCACAGCAGCAGCAGCTCCCGCTGCTGCTGCCGCCGCTGCTGCTCCTGCCTCTGCCACCCCTGCTCTCCCTGCAGCACCTGTGGCGCCAGCAGTAACACCAGTCATGCCTGGAGCCCCCGGAGCAACAGCCATGGTGGGTGGGGTACCCCCGCTGCCCGGCGTCCCCCCACCTGCTGCCACACCAGGGCAGGCAGCATTGGGGATGGCAGCACCAGGGGCCGTCCCTCCTGCTGCCTATGCATACACGCCTCCTCTCCCCGGGGTGGCGCCATTGGTGCCAGGTGCAGGGCCGATGGGGGCTTCCCCTGTGCCGCCTGCTGGTGTTCCCCTGCCTGCTGCTGCTACTCTCACCCCGTGAGTGCTGCTTGGATTGTTTCGGCCGGATTGCAGTGCTTCAAGCACAGTCATTGCCAAGTGCCGCTGCTGTGAATGTGCCTGTGCTCTCCTTCCCGTCCCTCTTCGCTCCAAGGATGTGAGCTTCTGGGTGAAAGCTTCCTATGTTTCTTCTTATGCAGTTTCTTCCTGCTTCTTCTGTGCTGCACTTGCTCACATGCTCCTTCAGTGGTTGCCGACGGCACTGCCGCACTGGCCCAATCCGCTCACCTCCTGTCCCTCCCTCCGCTCTCCTCTCCCTTGCTTGCAACGCAGGCCTCTTCCAGCTGCTGCTGCGGCCGCCACGCAGGCGCAGGCACAACCCACTCAAGCTGCACCAGAGGTGTGTGTGGTGCGGTGTAGAGGTGTACGGTGTGGTTGGTAGGGTAGCTGGATGAAACGTGTGTTTCACCCTTATACCCTGCAGGGCTTGTGACCACATACATTGTGTTGGGCCACACTCAATGGTTTGTTGTTGGTGATGTTCTATCAATCCCATCATACCATACATCGTGAGGGAAAGAGGGATACCACATGTTTTATTTCAACGTCGGTCACATGTTCATCGCATGTCAAACCCTCTCCTGCCCTTTTTCCACTTTACCCCGTTTCTCTCTGTTCCCTCAAACTCCCCCACCTCCACTCCACCTTCCTCCCCAATCAGGCGAAGGGGGCACCAGCGGTGAGCAAGATCAACATAACGCCCATCACGGAACCCAAGCCCCCCCCTGCTCCTGTGGGCGAGCCTGTCTATGCCACCAAGCAGGTGCGTCAGGGTTTAAGATTTGGGTTTGGTGTGTTGGTGTTTTGGCTCTCATCTCATTCCCCTGCCGTCATGCCCCTCCCTTCATTGTCTTCCCCTCATTCCCTGCTCTCATTCGCTGGCCAGCATTCCCTCCCTCTCGTTCCCTATCTATTCCTCTCCTCTCAACTTACGAAAGGCGAAGCTGCTGTTGAGGAGGTGCTGGAGGTCGTGAAAGGCCTTCCACTCTCCTCTTCGCCTTTGCCTCTCATCCCCTTTCTCCCTCATTCCCATTGTCTCTCATTCCTTCTTCGCCAATGACAGGAGGCCAAGGCGACATACAAGGAGCTGCTGTTACCCCCACCGTTGTGAAAGTCCGTGTGCTCTCCCCCTCGCCCTGCTTCCCACTCTCTTCCTCTCTCATTCCCTTTGTCTCATGCCCTCTCCACCATTGGCAGGAGGCCAAGGCGGCGTTCAAGGAGCTGCTGGAGGCGGTGGGGGTGACATCGGAGGGCACGTGGGATCAGGCGATGAAGAAGATCATCAACGACAAGCGATACGGCGCACTCAAGACGCTGGGGGAGCGCAAGCAGGCCTTCAATGAGGTATGTAGTGTGTCGTGTGGGAGCAGGTGATGCAGAAGATCATCAACGACAAGCGATACGGCGCACTCAAGACGCTGGGGGAGCGCAAGCAGGCCTTCAATGAGGTATGTAGTGTCTCGTGTGGGAGCAGGTGATGCAGAAGATCATCAACGACAAGCGATACGGCGCACTCAAGACGCTGGGGGAGCGCAAGCAGGCCTTCAATGAGGTATGTAGTGTGTCGTGTACGAGCAGGTGATGCAGAAGATCATCAACGACAAGCGATACGGTGCACTCAAGACGCTGGGGGAGCGCAAGCAGGCCTTCAACGAGGTACGCGGCGTGTCGTGTGGGAGTAAACAAAGCCTGTTTGAGCAAGGGCGGATGGGCAGGGCATGAGAAAGATCATCAGTGACAAATGGTACGGCGCACTCAAGACGCTGGGGGAGAGCAAGCAGGCCTTCAACGAGGTACGCAGCTTGTCGTGTGGGAGTAAACAAAGCCTGTTTGAGCAAGGGCGGATGGGCAGGGCATGAGAAAGATCATCAGTGACAAGCGGTACGGCGCACTCAAGACGCTGGGGGAGAGCAAGCAGGCCTTCAACGAGGTACGCGGTGGTTAGAGCGAGGATTCTTGATTTTCACGCTTCCGCTTGCACCTGCTGAATCACATCAGTCTTTGCCTTTTTAGTGCCTCTCCCTTCCTTTTTGTCCCGCTGCTCTTTACAGCAGTATCTGACGCAGCGCACGCAGCAGGAGGCTGAGGATAAGCAACTGAAGCACTCTTACTCTCCCTTTCTTCTTCTCCCCCCTCCTTTTACTTATTTCTCCCCGGTCCGCAGTACATAACGCAGCGCAAGAAGCAGGAGGCGGAGGAGAAGCGGCTGAGGCAGAAGAAGGTGCGGGAGGACTTCATCGCGATGCTGGACGAGTCCAAGGACCTCTCCTCCTCCATGCGCTGGCAGTGAGTCATGCTGAGCTGGCACTGAGTCGTGCTGACGTGGCATTGAGTCGTGCTTAGCTGTGAGATGACTTCATTGCGATGCTGGACGAGTCCAAAAAGCTCTCCTCCTCCATGCGCTGGCAGTGAGTCACTCGTGCTGACCTGACAATGACTCGTGCTGCGCTGGCAGTGAATAATTCCCTTCGTGACTCACCTCCTGCTGCTGCCACTCTTCTCTTGCTCATCCCTTTGTCTCGGCTGCCTCCATTCCATTCGCTTGTCTCATCCTCTTTTTTTTTTCTTCCATCCCAGCCTTTTAAAGTGTTTCCTCATCCTCCTCTCCCTTCCCACCACACCCCTCCCCCCACCCACTCCCCTCCTTCCCCCACCACACCTCTCCCAGGAAAGCGGCGCCCTTGTTTGAGAAGGACCTGCGGTGCGTGGCGGTGGAGTCGGAGAGGGAGAGGGAGGAGCTATTCGACGACTACCTCATTGACCTTGTCAAGAAGGTGCGTTGACTCGTTTTGACTTCCGTTGACTCGCGTTGACTTGCGTTGACTCGTGTTGACCTCATATTGACTGCTTTCTCAAGGAACCGCCTTCTTAGGAAAACGATTTCTGAGGCGCCTTGAACATTGACTTGTTCTCTGCTCCTCCCCCTGGGCTGCTACCGTGTGGCAGGAGAAGGACCGAGTGAGGGAGGAGAGGAAACGCAACATGGCAGAATTCAAGCAGTACCTCGAGACGTGCGGCTACGTCACTGTGAGTGAATGGGGTGTGCTGCATTACGCGTGTGTTGCCGTGAGTGAATGGGGTGTGCTGCATTAAGTGTGTGCTGCCGTGAGTGAATGGGGTGTGCTGCATTAAGTGTGTGCTGCCGTGAGTGCTTCGCTGCCTTGGATGCCCGTGCTCTCGCCTGCACTGTCCTCTGCTGTGAGGGAGGAGAGGAAGCGCAACATGGCGGAGTTCAAGCACTACCTCGAGACGTGCGGCTAAGTCACTGTGAGTGCTGCGCTGCTTTGTGTGTGTGTCGCCATGAGTGCTGTGATGCCCTGGGTTGGGTCTGTGTCATTGTTCTCTTCCCTGCTCTCCTCTGTTTGTGGACGTGCCCTTCCTCTCTCTCTTCCCTCACCCCCTTTCCTTCCTCCCGCCCCCCCACTTCCTTCCAGTCCGCCACGCACTACCGCAAGGTGCAGGACCGGTTAGAGGAGCATGAGAGCTGTGCCAAGCTCGATAAGATTGACCGCCTTGAAGTCTTCCAGGTGCGTGCTCATGTCTTTCCGGTGTGTGCTGCTTCCTTCTTTGCTCCAGTTCTGCTCTTCGGCCTTGCGGTTCTTCCGTTATTTCTTCTTTTCCCACCGCTATGCTTTTGAGGCATGTCAGAAATTAATTCGAAAATGTTTCATCGCACTGTTTCCCACTATTCGCTGTCCACCATTCCATTCGCTGCCTTGTGTTGGCTTGTCACTGCCCGCCTGCTACTGCCTGCTGATTCTTTGCTGTTTTCCACCTTCCTTTTCACTGCTGGCTGTTGGGTGCTGCTGGGTGCAGGAATTCATTCGCGAGCTGGAGAGGAGGGAGGAGGAGGAGAGGCAGCAGAAGAGGGTGTGTCCACCACTCAAGCCCACCCTATGCTCATTTCAGAGCTCGTCCGCTATTGTGCACCAGCATTATCAATGCTGTAGATGATCGTTATTGAGAATCGCCGTTTTGAAGTATCATCCGTCACAGCCACAATCCACGTAAGCCCCCTGACCTGACCCTACCCCTCCTTCCACACTCTCTTTCTTCCACCCACATTCCACTCCCCACCCTCCTCTCCTCTTGCCCCTCCCAGGAGCAACAGCGGCGCCAGGAGCGCAAGAACCGCGACGCCTTCAGGCGGCTGATGGACGAGCACAAGGCGGCGCTCACCCTCACTGCACGCACCCGCTGGCGCGACTTTGTCAACGTGGTGCGTGGGGTGGTATGCACGGGGGTTCATTCACATGGGTGGGGTGGTATGCACGGGGGTTCATTCACATGGGTGGGGTGGTATGCACGGGGGTTCATTCACATGGGTGGGGTGGTATGCACGGGGGTTCATTCACATGGGTGGGGTGGTATGCGTGGGGTTGGTATGAGTAAGGTTGATATATGTGTAGTGTGGCTGCTGTGGTTCGGGAGGCTTTACCCTGTGAGTGTGGGCCTTCAGCGGCGCTCACACTCACTGCTCGCACACACTGGCGTCTCTACGTCAACATGATATGCCATGTGTGGATTCACTGTGGTGGTAGTAGGTGGTGTTAATCATTTGCAGTCACTATCGTTTGCACGGTGTGAATCTGTCGCTGTGGTGCGTATCTCCCCTTTTTTCTATGCAAGAGGTGAAGGCCACGCTTGCGTACCTGGTGGTAGCAGGCAAACTGGGGGGATCTGAGCTTCTCTTCTCACATCGCTGCATCTTCTCTCCTCCCCCATTCCTTGCGCCTCCTTCCCTCGTTCCCCCCCTTGCTTCTGTGTATCCCCAGGTGAAGGACGACCCGGCATACGTGGCAGTAGCAGCCAACCTGGGCGGGTCGACGCCCAAGGAGCTGTTTGAGGACGTTATTGACGACCTGGACAAGCAGGTGCGGGGAGGGGGGGGGGGTAGCATTAGGGGTAGGTGGCAAGCAGGTGAGCGCTGCAGGGGGAGGTCGCTACTGGGGCAGGTGGTCGTTGTTGGTAGGTACAACCTGGGGGAGTCGACGCCCAAGGAGCTCTTTGAGGATGTGATCGATGACCTTGACAAGCAGGTGGGCGCTGCTGGGGTAGGTAGCATGTGGGGCAGGTAACAACTGACATGTGATCCTTTCAACCTGGGCGGGTCGACGCCCAAGGAGCTGTTGAGGACGTTATTGACGACCTGGGAGGTAGCATGTGGGGCAGGTGAGGGAGGTAGCATGAGGGGCAGGTGGCGACTGCTGAAGGTGGTTGTTGCTGGTAGGTTCAACCTGGGCGGGTCGACGCCCAAGGAGCTGTTTGAGGATGCGATTGATGGCCTGGACAAGCAAGCAGGTGGGCGCTGCTGGGGGCAAAGGCAGCATGTGAAGTGATAATGTTGCTTCTGCTCACTGCTCAGGCCCTGCCACTCAAGGTCGCCTGTTGTGCATTCCTTTGGCAGTTATGTCCCACATCCAGTGCTCACCACTTGCTGCTGTTGCCCCTGCTTCCCTCCCTCCCTCGCCTGTTGTCGCATTCACTCTTTCGGTTCCTGTACTTCCCAGCTGTGTGCGTTGAACTCTCTCTGCTGCCGCTCTGTCGTGCCGTGATTGTGTTTGCTGCTCCTTGTGTGCTGTGCCTTATTGGCTCCCCCTGTGTGTTGCATGCGTGCATGGTGCTGTGTGCCATGCTGTGCTGTGCCGTGCTGTTCTGTGCTGTGGTTCCTGTGTGTTGCGTGTGCGCATGGTGGTGGTGTCCTCTGACCTCGGAGCAGTACAAGGAGGACAAGGACAAGATCAAGGACCTCATCAAGAAGAAGAAGGTACGTCGAACCAAACCAAACCACGATCTCGTATCCAACTAACTCCCTGTTGATCCGTCCCGTTGTCCTTCTCAATGATCATGATCTTGTATCTATATGATTTCCGCTACTCCCTTCACCATTCTTGATTCGTGTGACACAGTCGTTACAACCCAAACGGTCTGCTCTGTGCTCAACCTGCCGAAACATGTCATGTGCTCTTTCCGCCACTGCCACTGCCCTTGCCCCTGCTTCTGCCCCGTCCCTGCCTCCCCTTCCTACTTTTCATGCCCTCCACCCGCCCGTCTTTCTCCGCCTCTTCCCCACCCCTTCTCCTTTCTCCTCCGCCTCCTCTCCCCCATTACCGCACAGGTGGTGGTGACGTCAGCCACCACCTTCGAGGCGTTTAAGGCTGCTCTCGGCTACGCCCCTCCCCCTCCTCCTCCCCCTGCCCCCGCTGCTGCTGATTCTGCCACCGCTGCTGCTGATGCTGGTGCTGGCACGGCAGTAAAGGAGGAGGCGAAGGAGGAGGGAAAGAAGGGAGATGTGGAGATGAATGGGGTGAAAGAGGAGGGGGGCTTGAAGAAGGAAGGAGTTACAGAGGAGGGGGGAGCGAAGGAGGGGGAGGGAGAGGCAGGGAAGGTGAAGGAGGAGCCTCGGGAGGAGGGCAAGGGAGGGGGAGGAGAGGCGGGTGCTGCTGTGGACAACAAGACGACCATCAAGCAAGAGGAGGGCGACAAGGCAGTGAAGCAAGAGGCGGGCGCGGGCGCGGTGAAGCAGGAGGAGCAGGCGGAGGAGGGCAAGGAGAGCAAGGAGGAGGTGAAGCTGCCGCCACCGCCACCGCCACCACTGCCACCGAAAGCTGATGAGTCGACTCCTAAGGTCGCCGATATGAGCCTCAAGGTGCGGTCCCCTGCCCTGCGCCCTGCCCCCGTGCTGGCTCTGCTAGCATAATTGGCTCCCTTTCTCCCTCAATCCTATCCCGCGCTCTCTTGGGGTGGGATTCTTGCTGCTGCTATCCCTGTCACCTGTGCATCTGCACACATACACGTGCACCAATCACAATGCAATGCGCCTTGTGGTCGTCATGGTATGCCTTAGAGCCTGGAAATATGACACTGCTCTCAAACACACCTTGTGAGACTGCTCCTTGTTGCCACACAACAAGAGCCTGGAATCATGACTCCCGGTGGGCGTCTTTTGACTTATACCGAGCAACCCGGGCCGACCCCAACATCCTTCTGCGAGTGACAATCGTTGCATAGGGTAACCAGCAGGTAAAAGAATAACCCTGTGGCTACTTTCTGGTAACACATTAACCTGGAGAAAAAGGGTTTGTCGCCAAACTAAGCATACATTGTATCTCAACACCCCTTTTCCGAGGTCAAACTGAGCCGGTTCAAGGTGGGATGCAAGTCAAGAGACGTCTCAGAAGTCAACCAGGGGTGCAACTCAATGCCACTTTCTGTCCCTGCAGCAGGAATGCTCATCGGACCTTTTGTCGTGAGGACAATCTGCCGCCTTCTAAACTTTCCACCTCTTCCTCCCCCACCTTCCCTCCGCTGCTCTTCCCCCCTCTTCGGATCTTTAGGGTCCCTTCCACCTTGCTTCCTCCATTCTTTCTGTTAGCCCCACACTCACATCACCATTCCGTTCCCGTACAATCACATACATTAGAAAGCAGCTGCTTGTTTTTTCTTTCTTCGGGTGTGGGAGGGGTAACGTACATCGCCTGTGCATATGTTATACAATGCATGTGGTGGCTTTTATTGGAGGACCAGGTTGATTGGTGATGCACCCATGATTTGCCATCTCCTCACCTAGCTCAGTCACTCATCGCCTCCTCTCCCTGCTTCTTTCCACCCCCATCCCCTTTTGTGCTGTTGTGCTGTTGTGCTGTGTGCTGCGTGCCTGTGTGTCTAGGTGCGCTGGACTGCTGTTGCGGTGGGCGGCTGCTTGTTGTGACTGCCTTTGGCTGATTGTGTTGTGTCTTGGGATGGCATGTGGATGGTTTGTTACCTGGTGTGACACATGTGTGCCTGTGTGTCGCTCTGAATGTGCATGGCATTCATCTGCTGTGTGGCCGATGCGCTCATGCACATGTGCATGCGCATGTGCATGTGCATGGGCATGTGCATTGGCATGTGCATGGGCATGTGCGTGGGCATGTGTGTGTCTGTGTGCGTGTGCACGTGCTTGCGCGTGTGTGTATGTGCATGCGCACACGCGCTTGTACTCTTGGGGCCATTCATATGGTGATGCATTTCTGGCATCAATTGTTGCAACTGGTTGTTTGCATTGAGCTCTCATCTCATCTCACGTCATACCATCACCTCATCAACCCATGCTCTCACATTCGCGAATTTCATTCAACACAACTGCGAAACATGGAAAAAAAACATTCTCGCACATTCGGTAACGAACATTGTGTTATGGAACGCACGTTGTTTCAACCAATGCATGGTAACAAACGCATGGTAACCACCATGGTGTGGTAACCAGATAGTGTGGGAGGATCTGGTGGAACGAGCAGTGGAGAGGGAGGAGAAGGAGGCGCGACGCAAGAAGCGGCTGGCAGAGGACCTCGCGGACGCCCTCAGGGGCGTGAAGGGGCTGACAGGGAGCACCACCTGGGAGGAGGCGAAGCCGCTTGTGCAATCGCTGCCTGAGTACAAGTACGTGAATGTAGTATGATGTGGTATCCTGGCAAAACACAGATTCGCTGAGGGGCGTGAAGGGGTTCTCGGGAGCTCCACGCGGGAGGAAGCGAAACCACTCGTCCAATCGCTTCCTTAATACAAGTACGTGATTGTGGCTTGCAGTAGTATAGCAACAGTTTGCAAGCATGAATCGATGTAGGGGTTGAGGCGCAAGAAGCGGCTGGCGGAGGACCTCGCGGGCGGGCTGAAGGGCGTGAAGGGGCTTGCAGGGAGTTTTACGGGGGAGGAGGCGAAACCACCCGTCCAATCGCTGCGTGAATACAAGTGTGCTGCTGTAGCGTGACATGAAGTCCATGCCTTTGAGAGTCGACAGGAACTGCACCTGGTGGATGCTCTGAGGGGGTGAATCGCCTTCTTCCAGGAAGCTCCACGTGGGAGGAGGCAGAAGCCACCTGTTCAATCGCTGCCAGAGGAGGTGGTGAGAGGCGGAGAGAGGTGGAGAGAGGCGGAGAGAGGCGGAGAGAGGCTGAGGGTGGTGGCGGAGCACGTGGCTTGGCGTGGCTGCTGTTCTGTGCTGCTGTGCTGTCGCTCTCTGCCCCTATGTTTGTGTGACATGCCCCTCTCCCTCGCTCTCTCTCCGGATGTTATCCCTCGGGCGATAGCAGAGGAGGCGGAGCTGCGGAAGGTGGTGGAGGAGCGTGTACCTTGGCTGCTGAGGTCGATTCTGTGCTGCTATTCACTCATTTCTCCCTCTGTCGCTGTGGTTATGTGGCATGCACCTGTGTGTGTGTGTATTTGTGTGTGCTGTTGTCCCCTCACCGCAGGGCGATATCGGAGGAGGCGGAACGGAAGAAGGTGGTGGAGGAGCACGTGGCTCGGCTGCTGCATAAGGAGAAGAAGAGGGAGAAGGAGAAGGAGAAAGAGAAGGAGAAGGAGAGGAAGAAGAAGGAAGAGAAGGTGATGCTTTGTTCCGTGTCGCTGTTACACTGTCCCGCACTGCACCGCTCTACACTGTAGTGCATTGCATGTCCTTTAAAATAGCATACATCTCAATAGGTGCTGTTGTGGCACACTACTTGGATAAAACTTTGTTACCCCATCTGCCTGTCGTGCAATCCTTTTTACCTCTTTCCTTCCCTTTCCACCCTGTTTCCACTTGGCTTTCCTCCTCACCCTCTTTCTTCCACCTTTCTCTCATTCACTCTCTATTCCCCTATGTTGCCCTCTCACTACCTCATCTTCCGTCCTGCCTGTGCCTGTGCCTGTGCCTGCGCCTGCGCCTGTGCCTGTGTCTGCGCCTGCCTGTGCCTGTGCCTGTGCCTGTGCCTGCGCCTGCCTGTGCCTGTGCCTGTGCCTGTGCCTGCGCCTGCGCCTGTGCCTGTGCCTGTGCCTGTGCCTGTGCCTGTGAATGTGCCTGCGCCTGCGCCTGTGCCTGTGCCTGCGCCTGCGCCTGTGCCTGTGCCTGTGCCTGTGCCTGTGCCTGCGCCTGTGCCTGTGCCTGTGCCTGTGCCTGTGCCTGTGCCTGCGCCTGTGCCTGCGCCTGTGCCTGCGCCTGTGCTTGTGGATTTGCAGGCGAAGAAAGAAGAAGAGAAGAAGGAGAAGGAGAAGAAGGAGAAGGAAGAGCGGGAGAAGGAGAAAGAGGAGAAGGAGAAGAGGAAGGAGAGAGAGCGGAAGGAGAAGGAGGAGAAGAAGGAAAAGGAGAAGGAAAAGGAGAAGGAGAGAGAGAAGGAGAAGGAGAAGGAGAAGGAGAAGGAGAAGGAGAAGGAGAAGGAGAAGGCTAAGGAGAGAGGGAAGGAGAGGAAGGGAGAGAGAGCGAGAGTGACTCGGAGAAGGTAAGTGAGGAGAGGAGGAGCAAGGAGAAGGAGAGAGCGAAGAAGGATAAAGGCATGGAAGCAGAGGGCAGCAAAGAAGGTAAGGGGAAAGGAGATGAGAAGGATAAGAAGGATGGGGCTGAGGACAAGAAGAAGAGAGATGGGGAGAAGAAGAGGAAGGATAGGGGGGAATCGGATGAGAGCGAGGGAGAGGAGGAGGAGTTAGAGGAGGGAGAGGACAGGCCTAAGGGCAGCAAGCAGGCGAGGAAGAGTGGTGATGCATCTGATGAGGACTGGGAGGAGCGTGAGAAAGCAAAGGAGTTGGAGCGATCGAAGGCAAAGGAGAAGAGGAAGGAGCACAGGAGGCGGTCTAGGAGGGATGAGAGTGAGGATGAGGATGAGGAGGATGAGGAAGAGAGGGAGAAGGGTGGGAAGAAGCGAGAGAAGAGGGATAGGGAGGAGGAGAAGGAGAAGGGTCGATCCAAGGAGAAGCGAGAGAAGGATGAGAAGGACGAGAAGGGGAAGGGGAAGGAGAAGGAGAAAGATAGGGAGGAGAAGAAGAAGGGGAAAGGGAAGGATGATAAGGAAAGGGAGAAGGAGAAGGAGAGGAAGCACAGGAGGAGGCACCGGGACGAGGAGGATGATGAGGAGGAGGAGGAGGATGAGAAGGAATCTCGCAGATCGAAGCGTAGCAAGGGCAGCAGCGACCACCGGCGGTCCTCCCGCAAGGTGAGGAAGGCTCTCTATCTGTCTCTCTGACAGCGGGTCAGAAGACGGGGCACAGGAGCAAGGAGTGTGCTGTTTGAGACATCTCAGGTCAAATCGCCCACATTTTCCCACTCATCCATTTGTCCTGTTCCCTGATTGTGTGGCAGGACCATGAAAGTGACAGCGAATCGGAGGACAGCGGGCATAGGAGCAGGGATCGCGAGAGGAAGCACCGCAGCAGCAAGTCGAAGAAGTCGTCGCACCGCTCGCGAGCAGACGAGGACCTGGAGGATGGGGAAGTGGGCACATGAGACTACTACCGTTTTTCTTGTTTTGTTGACTAAGCAACCAGGCACAGGAGCAAAAAGAGGGAAGATGGGGAGGATGGGGAAGTGGGCGCGTGAGACTAATTGCTTTATGAGGCACCTCAAAACAAAAATTTGAGGCATCGCAAGTCCAAGATGTCATCGCACCGCTCGCGAGTCGATGGCGACAGGATGGGGAGGTGGGCGGTGAAGGAGTTGGTTAGGCAGGCACAGGAGCGGGGAGTGTGTGGGGAAGCATGTAATACAAGTGTTTTGTCACACTGCTCATGTGCTGATGATGGCTTGGAGGATAGGGAAGTGGGCTTTTGACTTGTGTTGAGTTGACAAGCCAGGCACAGGGGCAAGATTGTTGGAGTTATACCCGGATGCGAGACCTGGAATCGCACACCCCTGTGTGATGCATGCTGTGGGGTGGGATTTATGATGTGCTATTGGTTGCTGAAATATGGGATGGACCATCTAATGTCTTCCCCAACTGTGTGTAGAGCTGTTTTTGAAATATATGATATCATCGGTAGCATTGGTCCTTGTGTTAGCGAAGCGGTGCCCATATCGCGTACACAGCCCGGCACGTCCTATTCAGCAGGGCACTTCCCGAGGGTCATGTTGGTCAAAGTGCTTCCTTCCTATTCAGCCCCATTCCCTCTCGAATTTCCTTCCCACCATCCCCCCCCACCCCCACAATACTTGCTCACCTACCCTTTCCCCAACGACTGTCCGTTTTTCCACCTTCGCTTCTCTCCTCGTCATATATATAATGTACTTCGCTCTCCAAATCTAGCATGCGTGTCATTATTCACACAAATTTCTTGAAATATCCATACACCATCGTGCTTCGTAGTCTCCTTTTCATTTCGCCACAGCCCTGCTCCATCCGTTCCGCCTATTCTACTGGATAAGCTACCCGAGTCGCGTTCCCCATACCGCACCATCGCCGCAACTCTCAAGTAACCCCGCTCCTCCGCCGCACCCCGCGCGAGTGGCATGGCGGAAGCAAGTCAAGCGAAGGCAGTCGCCGCCCCTTTCTCCATAGCGCTCGCTCCTCCGCATGCGGCGGCGGCGGCCCCGGGGCCGAATTCCACAGCGCCAAAGGCGGCGCCAGTCGCGGGGTCAGTAGCGGCGCCAGTCGCGGGGGAGATGGAGGCGCCTTTGAGTGAGCCTTCGCGCTCGCTGAGCGATAGTATGCCCGCCGGCACGCGCGTGGTGCGCTCATTAGGGGGGTTTGGTGGGGGAGAGGGGAGGGGGAAGGGGGGGAGGGAGGGGAGCGGGGAGAGGGGGGCGAGGGGAAGGGGGGAGGGTCGGGGGAAGCCTGTAGTACGCTTGCTGGCCTGCGCTGGTAGCAACCGCCTCTCCGCCATTCCCCCTTGCCCACTTCCCCCAACTGCTGACGTGGACCACCTCCCATCTCTTCATCCGCCTGCCGCCCCTCCAGTGCGCCAATTCCCCCTGCTCCTCTTCCCCCTCCGCTGGACTAATCCCCATTTCCCTCTTGCGCCCAATCCCCTTCCCTCTGTCCCCCTCCCCCCCTTAGCTACTGGAGAGGACCAGCTCCCATTGCTTCATCCGCCTGCCGCCCCTCGAGTGGGCTGGTCCCCCCTTCCCCGCCCCTCGAGTGGGCTGGTCCCCCTTCCCCGCCCCCCACTTTCCACTGTGCTGATCCCCCTTGCGCCAATCCCTTCCCCCCCTCTCCCCGCCACAGATACTGGAGAGGATCAGCTCGGCTCTATTCATCCGCATCCCGCCCCTCCAGTGGGCTAATCCCCCTTGCGCCATTCCCCCCCCCTCCCCCTCACAGATACTGAAGACGACCAGCTCCGGCCTTTTCATTCGCATCCCGCCCCTCCACCCGGCCAAAGCGGCGCTCTGCTTTATGGTACCGGCCAAAGCAGCACTTGTACTCACCTTTCCTTTTTCAATCACCTGAGAGAGGTTCTGTCTCACACTACTCCTTTTGAGACGTCTCAAAAGAGGGAGGTTCTGCTCTCACACCACTGCTCATCCCACAAGCATCATGGCACCACGGCCCACCCTGTACCTTGCACCTACCTGCCAACGCCGTTCTCCTGTCTCCTCTCTCTCTCTCTCTCTCTCTCTCTCTCTCTCTCTCTCTCCTCTCTCTCTCTCTCTCTCTCTCTCCTCTCTCTCTCTCTCTCTCTCTCTCTCTCTCTCCCGTCCATGCACAGATTTTCGCTCTCATGCCCCTGTCACAAACGCCCTTCTCCTGTCTGTCCCACACCTCCCATCTCCCGTCTCTCCTCGCTGTGCAGTTTTTTGCTTTCCTCGGCCTGATGCCTGCTGCTGCTGCCTCTGATGCTCGATGCTGATGCGGACACGGGGGAGCCGACACCCGTTCCGCCCTTCATTCCTGTTCTCTCCGCTCTCTGCGCACTGTGAGCGAGCTCTTGGAGGGGTGGTGAGGGGTGGTAAGGGGTGGTAAGGGTTTAGGGTGCTCTCTTGGCACTGCTGCCGCTGCTGCTGCCGCTGATGCTTGATTATAGCTACCCCACAGGGGAGCCGACACCCCTTCCGCCATTCACGCCTGTTGTCTCTGCTCTCTGCGCACTGTGAACCTTGGGAACGGTATTGAGGGGTGGTAAGGGGTGGTGAGGGATATAGGCACATACACCTCTGGGGTTCCTCCCACCCTTCATGCCTGTTTCCGCTGCTCTCGTCTCCCCATGCTGTGAGCCCTGGGAGGGGTATGGAAGGATGGGGAGGGGCAGTGCCGAGCATATGCTCTGCCTTTGTGTGCGCACGATGCAAACATACATTTTTCTGCGTTAATACCCTTTCCCCCCGACCTCTCCACCCTTCCGAACCCCTCTCTTCTACACATCCCTCGTCCATTCCGCCAATGTCCTGTGCTGAGCGTGTGTGCAGCATTTGTGGTGCGTTCAATGCGAACGAGCCTGCCTGTACCACGAATGCTCAATTCCTTTTCCAATTCCTTTTCCAATCTCCTTTTCCAATTCCTTTTCCAATTCCTTTTCCAATTCCTTTCCAATTCCTTTTCCAATTCCTTTTCCAATTCCTTTTCCAATTCCTTTTCCAATTCCTTTTCCAATTCCTTTTCCAATTCCTTTTCCAATTCCTTTTCCAATTCCTTTTCCACTTCCTTTTCCACTTCCTTTTCCAATTCCTTTTCCAATTCCTTTTCCAATTCCTTTTCCAATTCCTTTTCCAATTCCTTTTCCAATTCCTCTTCCAATTCCTTTTCCAATTCCTTTTCCAAATCCTTTTCCAATTCCTTTTCTCCCTCACGTGCCTATCTGAGGCCTCACAGTTCGCCTCCCCACCTCCCCCTCCCATCCCATCCACGTCAGCATGGCAGTGCTGAGCGTGTGTGCAGCATTCACGGTGCGAACAATCACTTGAGCCGATCCCCATCTCCTCTCAACCGCTCCACCATTCCAACCCCTTCTCCCCCCCACTCCTTTCTCTGCTTCCCCCAATGCGCCAACATCAGCATGGCAGTGCTGAGCGTGTGTGCAGCGTTCACGGTGCGCACGATTCAAATCGACGGCTCACAGCTGCTGCACAAGTGGCAGCTGTTTGATTGGACCATTGACACCACCATCCCCACCGCATCCATCGTTCAAGTGTCTCTGTGCAAAATGGTAAATGAATGTGGCAACACTAGGTTTGAGCCCTGGCGCCTCAAAACTAGAATGGGACAACACTGTGAGCCCTGGGAGCAGTGAGGAGTGTTGTTGAGGTGTGTTGAGGGGTGCGGACGGGTGTTGAGCGGTGTTTGGATGGACCATTGAAGCCAACATCCGCACCACGCTCATCCAGCAAGTCTCCCTCTGCGAGTTGGTAAACTCCTCGCATCACCCCCTCCCTCGCATCACCTCCCCTGGCCCCACACCCCTCACCGCTTCCCCTCTTTCAGAGAAGGCGGTTCAGCACGACGTATTTCTGCCGGGTCACAGCAGCAGACGGCAAGCACCTTGACTTCGGCTACCATCTGTCTGGAGAGGAGAACGTGTGGCTGCAACAGGAGGTGTCCTCGTTCCTGGTTGACGTGCAACCAGGTGAGCAGGTCACTTTGACTTCTGAGTCGAATCAAAATTTGTTCAGGGTTTAGGGTGCGTGTGGCTGCAGCACAAGGTGTCCTCGTTCCTGCTCGGCCTGGCTGGAGAGTCGGTGAGATTTCATCTCCTGTCTGCTTGCTCGAGGCTTTCTATCAGGTTCGCTGTGCGCTTTCTATACCTCTGCCTCTGCCTCTGCCTCTGCCTCTGCCTCTGCCTCTGCCTCTGCCTCTGCCTCTGCCTCTGCCTCTGCCTCTGCCTCTGCCTCTGCCTCTGCCTCTGCCTCTGCCTCTGCCTCTGCCTCTGCCTCTGCCTCTGCCTCTGTCTCTGCCTCTGCCTCTCTTCCTGCGCCGGCATTCATGTCTGCCTGCACTGCTGCTTGCCTGTCCATCTGCTCTCGTCCTCCTTGTGTCTGGTGTGTGCAAGTCTGTTTCCCAAGTTCAATCCCTTTCATGCCCGTACTCTCGTGCCCACACTGCAGGCAGCACCATCATGCCATAAAAGGCCGTTTCATGCCCGTCCTGTCATGCAACTCACTGCAGCTACCGTAATTAGGCCACATCATGCGTCTCCCTCCCTGCAGTGACGCATCCACACCTACCATGTACAAATGCTGCATTGTGTATCCATTCTACAAACACCTGTTTGTATTGTAAATTATAAACGAGAGTGTGCCAGCCGGGTCCAGTCCAGTCCGGGAATGATTTCATGATATTGCAGAGCAGCTTCGATATTCCGACATGCATGTGACTGACCATACAACGGCTATCTTTACGACTTGCATAGCATCCTACGACCAGTCCCGTCGTGCTGCAGGCGCTATCCCATGCTTCCAGAGAAACCCAGGGAGGGCCAGAACGGAAACGTCTCTTGTAGTGGTGGTAGACATTGCTTTTTATGCTAGACATAGGGGGTTACGAACTTTCAAGCGAATGCCATTGTCGAGAGTAGCTGGTTAGGGGTACCATATGTCTTGCTAGGCATCTTTCCTGGAGAATCCGTTTCAAGCATGGTGCCAGTCACTTCATGTCTGCATGGCGCTCTTTGTGGTTGTGCCGACAGCATCTCGGCGACCTCACTATTGAAGAGTTCCCTTTATATCCAGATCAATAGCTTCGTTGCATGTTTAATTATTGACACTATTAAATGTCTCTTTGAGAGCACGCAGCCGCAGTCACACTGTCAATATCGCGTACAGCGCGTGACATTTTCCCGAAAGTCAACGTCGTCAAGGTCTTAGCCCTTCACTTTGCCCATCCCGCTTGCATTCCCCCCCAACCAACCCCCCTTTCCCCCAGCAACCTCTGTTTCTCCTTCCACGTCCCCATCTTCATCTCTTTATAATTTATTACCTAGCTCCTTTGAAGTCACGTACTTCTATCATTTTCCTAAAATCTCCATAGTCGCTCGTGCTTATCAGTTATCAGTTCATCACAGCCCTGCTCCCTCCATTTCGTCAACCCCCCGAATAAGCTACCCTCGCGTTCCCCATACCACACCATCGCCGCACATCCCCCCCAAGTAGCAAATGGCGGAAGCCGCAGGTCATACGAAGGCGGTTGCCGCCCCTTTCTCCATAGCGCTCGCTCCTCCGCATGCGGCGGTGGCGGCGCCGGGGCCGAATTCCTCAGCGCAAAATGCGGCGCCAGTTGCGGCGCCTGTCGCGGGGATATGGAGGCGCCGTTGATCGAGCCGTCGCACTCGCTGAGCGATAGTATGCCCGCTGGCACGCGCGTGGTGCGCTCATTAGGGGGGTTCGGGGAAGGGGGAGGGGGAGGGGGAGGGGGAGGGG